CGCGTCCCCCCGGCGCAGGGCGGGTTTGGGATCTTCGCTTTCCGAGACTCTTCCCCTGTGAAAACGAAAGTACTCTGAGGAGGAACAGACAGGAAAGGACGGACATCTGCGGCTCACACAGGAAAAGCGTTCAGCTGCGGCACCAGCTTTCTGCCCGGATCATTAAGACCAAGATAGCATCTTTATTTAAAATCAAGATTAACCTCCAAACTCTCAAAGATGGGAGAACGCACGCCAGTGCTGAAAATACTCAGCCCCATATGCTGCCCATACGTACTGTGAACTACAGGGTATCAAGAAAGGGAATCGTCAAACCACTTCAGAGGAGTGGAGCTATCTACAGTGCCTCAGATACGGACCGAATTTTTTTTTCTTCTTCCTCTCTTTTTGACAGTGATGGAGCTATTGGAGTCAACACCCAACACCTTTCCACACCCCACCCCACCCCCCAAAAAAAAGCAGACAAGTATTCCAAGCAGATGTAGCTAAATAACTGCCCTGCACTGCAGAAATGAACCTGTGCATCACTCACTACACCAACTTCACCTTTTTCAAACGTCTCATCACATGAGAAACTAGCAAGTTTGACAAGATTTATTTTCCCTAAAGAGAACCTGATCTGCTTTAACTTGACCACAACAGAAGCCAAAGAAATGATAGCTTCCAGCAAACCCAAAAATAGTTGGTGTGGTGGTGTCCCACTCTCCCTCTCAGAGCCATACCCAGTATCAGCCCCAACTTGGTCAGCAGTCAGCGCCGGGGAGGCCTCAGGGACACACCACCACTCAACTACAGCACGGAAACTTTTGGCTCTGAAGTTTGCAAATATGGCTAGAGAGACTGTTCATGTAGCAGTAGAAACCTTCGCTCCCCGCATTGTGGCACACCAACACTAGCTAAAGGGAAAACAGTGGCACAAGAGAAGATACATAAACTACGAAATTCAACAATACCATTTTTTTTTTAAAAACTAACCTTAAACTGGCAACACCTTACTATAAGATGAAACACCTTCTGTCCATACGAGAATACTGTGAGATTTTGAAAACTGCTTTTATTTTAAGCATTTTGGAAGGTAAGTACTAAGTAACAGAAAATACAGGCATTCAGATTTGTTTCTAAATAAAAGTAGGAAGAAGGTATTAATCCTTGAGTGGCATTTTCTTGAAATCAAACTAACTTTTCTGTTGGCACTGGTACCTCAGGTAAGTCCGAAGCTGTGGTTATGGCTGGCACGAATTACCTTCCTCTTCCCCGTTACCTTTTGCATAACAATCTGCTTGTGTAAGAGCAACACATTTCCAGCCAAGGAAAGGAGAAAGGAAAAAAAAATTAAAATCACACATACATGAGAAATGCATGAAAAAAGTACAGCCAATAAATTTCACCAATGGTGGAACATTTAGAGATACATACATCTTTAACTGCCTACACGCATACGCAGTATTTGTTTAAGTGGAGAGTAGGGACACATCAGCAATTTAGACCACAGTGGAGCTTCAGCATGACTGCAATCTGGCTCTTCAGCTGTTGCACAATGGAAAGGGTGCAGAGAAAGATGAGGAAGAGGAGATGAATGAATAAATGGATATATATTCTGGATCTGGAAGGTGTGAAAGTGAGGTATATTCTTTCTGACAAGTACACACCACCCAAGCTTCCTTGCTTCTCCTCTTACTGACCTTTTCTCATCCTTTTCACCATAAGTGAGGTGATAGTTGTCTTTTCTGTCACTCCCTCTCAACTACAAAGAATTTTCCAGCTTTACGCATGTCTTATAATTGTCAGAGGTTACTCTTTCTGATAAATCTTCTGATTAACTGTTAACTAGGTGTCATTTGATTTGTCCTTCCACTCTCTGCATACTCTATTGCCCCTCTCACCTTCATTATTTGCTATTTCATCAAGCACTCACGATTTTTCTCATCCATAGCTATCCTTCATGATCTTCCTGACTCCACAGGCCCTTTCTTTTTCTGGTCCATCCCACCATACCTCTTGCTTTCTGCTTCCCTCCTCCTGTTTGTGGTTACACTCATGTCCTTCTACAGGTGAAAGTGCCAGCCACCACAGCATCATAAACTGGGTCTACCCTCAGCACTCCATTCCCGGGCATCACAAGCACTGCTTTAAAGATAGATGCACAGAACACATTGCAACATTTTATGGAGCGCAGCAATACATCAGGGCAATTTTGTGCTTCTCCAGAAAAGCAAAAGCGACAGAGAGCTGGTGGAGAAGCCACACCCTGTTTACAGTCTCCACAAAAAAAACCCAAAAAAAACCAGAACATACATGAATACAATCACATTGGGAAACCCCCCCCCAATGAAATTGTGTTTTAAAAACATGGGATGAAATTCATCATCTATGTAATTTAGCTCACTCTACATATGTCAATGTTTCCCATTTTTCTGATAGCTCTGTGGGCCTTATATAGACATTTATATGAATAAAATTTTAGATTTTTACTGTCAAGGTTTTACTAATTTCTGCTGCTTGTCTTCCCTAGCAAATCAACACTCTACCTGTGTTACTGGGATAATTTTCTCAGTAATGGAGTTGTTAATAGTAAGGTTACTGTTCCATCTGAGGAATAAACACCACCCTTAACTTTGAGAAAAAAAAACAATATTAAAAAAAAAAAGAAAGAAAAGAAGGAAAGAACTGCTCTTAGCTTAAATTTCTCCTCACATCACCAGAATTTTAAGTAAAAACTGGAAAAAACACCAACAAAAACATCAAATCACTGATTACCAATGTTAATTATAGGTCTTATCAGCGTACCACAAACCATACACATATTTCCTCCAGTGCGTTTGAATCAGGTCTACAGTGAAATTTTCTCCTTATGTTCATAGTCCCAAAAGAATCTAGTTGAAGGGAAGCATTAAGCCTGGTCTCAGAAGAAAACATGGTAAGTTGTGCACCTCTGGATGAAAGAATAGGAATGATTAAAGACTTTTGTCACTTGACATTGTAAAGAGACTGGGATGTAATTACGACTGACAGGATGAAAGGCAGAAGTAGGATAAAACATGTAACAGGCACCTTTCCCTGCAGGTAGGCATCACTATCAGTTCATGTACTGGTTTAGATCCTGATACAAGTGAATTAAATACCAGAGCCTGAAGCTTCTTGCCAACAGACACCTTCTTTCTGCTTACTGGTCTCTACTCTCAATCTCTCTGTACCACACTCAAGGATGTACTGAGAAGGTATAAATCCCAAATGGCTTTAAAATGTGACCTTCTGCCACACAAAACAAAGTTATCTCAATTTTGATTTTTATTACAGGGAGAGGTTGATACTGGGTGGCTGGGGGGGGGGAAGATGGCCAAAGATTCACACCAAAAATCTACAGTGGTTACTTTCTTCCAGGTTATTCATCACATTTAAAATCCTTGGCAGCCAACTGAAGTCCTTCCATGGTGGAATCAAAGTGCGAAGTTTCTGAAATAAAAAAAAAAAAAAAAGAGATTCTGCTGAACCACAACAGCACAGACTGAAGAAAGACTTTAACGGTTGCAGATCTGATCCTCAGACTGAGAAGAGTTCACCTGTCTGATATTTTTAAAAGTCTCTTTTTTATACTCAGTTGTTGGTTATTTTTTAAAAAAGTTTAAAAGAACGGAGAGGAAGCAGATGACAGGGAGCAAAGGAAAAAAAAATGCAAAGAAAATGGAAAAAGAAGAGAACTTTGATGTCAAAACTAGAGACAGTAAGGACCTAGCAGTCTCAAAGCTAATATGAAGAGTAACACAGTGGAATTTTCTTTTCTCCACACATCACAAATGCTATATAATGAATACCCATTCAATCAATACGACTATAGCATAGCTACATCTCATAATTGTTCTGTTATGTTGCAAACTTTTTCCCTTGTTACATTCACTGAGGGCCTCACAGGCCTCCAAGTTACAGAGATCATGCAAGGCAGCAGCACAACTTGATGGTTACTCTTTTCTAAGAGCTCCAGAAACACTGTTCTGGGCGCCTCTTATTCCCCCTGGTAATTATACTCTCCGCTTATGTAAGTTTTAGGCCCAGTTTTCCTGGTAAGCACTGTAAAAGGCAAGTGAGGTTTTCCGGTCACTATTCTGTACATTTCTTCATGCTTCACTTTGTTTAAAATTAGTGGCTAAATGTCAAAGGATAGAGAAAACTTTTTAATTATCATTGTATCAAAGTAGCAACTGGAGAAGGTTTGGCCATGGGATGATATTTTCTGTGACAATACTGTCACAGAATCAAGACAAGATTGCTTTAGTCTGCTTTCTATCTTTTTTGTTTGTTTGTTTTTCCATGCTAGCTGAAAGACAGTCCTGCTTGTCCCAGCGATATGTTCTTGCAAAGAGCCTCGAAGAGCCCCATATCCTGCTGCAGGACAATTTGTTTCAGCTTGATGGACCAGATTAAAAAGTTTTTGGATGTCTTCATGCATTGGATGACAGAGCTGACCTACTTCCCTCTGGCTGCAGAAGCATCGAGTCCAGCAAAGGGAAGCGAAGGGAATAGCACGGCCAGGCAAAGGAGGAGTGGTAATACGAGTCATCAAGAGGTTTGTCTCATCAAAACCATGACCCTATCAGGCTGTCATGGAGGAACTCTTCCTGTAGGGAGTTACTGACCACTACACTTCAAAAAGAAACATGCCAGCTTTTACTTGGCAGTAGTCCTACAGACAAATGCTTAAACTGACATTGGGTTTTGTCTTCTTGTTCTATGTTTGTATAACATCTGGCATTTGTGAGTCCTGGTCTAAGGAGCACCAAAATAATGCTGTTTTCACTGATCTCAGCATTTTTTAAACTGGGATCTCTTGCTTAATATCCAGAACAAATACTGATGTGCTGCCAACACTGCAATCAGGACTTCTCACAACAATTTGAGATTAACTTGTGCTTTCACAGAGGAACACCACCACTGTTCATGCTCCCATTTGAATTAAAAACACCCTTACACAACATGAACGCAGAAGCATGATCATCTGGCTAACAGATTAAATTGCACTTGGCTAGTAATGCTTAGTTTACTTTCCAATCTAAAGGGACTGAAGTGATCGTATTAGATCTCCATTTATTTACTATGGTTTTAAAAGTTTTCAGTAGGAATGCCTCAGTTTTTTTTTCTTTTTTTCTTTCTGACATTTGATGAAATCAAATCTATTTCAACATTTATAGTTGTTTACTTGAGTAGTTTTACAACCAGCCTGGGACATCATTCTTGGCAAGTCTGCTTTTACCAGCAACAAGATTTTGTGGTGAGGAAAGATAACGTTATCCCTCAAAACCAGGGGTGCCGTTGACTGAAAAAAACTCAGCTGCCTTTTACAGCACTGACACATGCAGACTTCAGAGGACCACCAAAATACCCATGTGGGGTCTGGCCAGGGATCTGCATTACCCAGTATCCTGTGCCTGACAGTGAGCATGAATCAACTGAAAACCCTAAAAGATGTTTTTTGCTTTTCATGTAAAGAAAAAAAAATTAATTTCCTAACATCTGTATAAGCTTAAAAGCAGTCTTTCATCTGAAGGTATGGTGGCACATATCATGGTCCCTGGCACCAGGGCTAACTGCCACCCAAGCAAGCAGCCCTGCACGTCTTCCCCTCGCATCTACAGCAGCACAGCCCCATCTGCTCCCTGGCCACAGCTCTGGCACTGAGTTGGATCTTACACAGGCTTATCTAAATTCACCAGTCTAGCAAAAAACTATCTATTTGTTTCCTGTGGGTTTAGAGAGTTAGCGAGTGCCAGAGCTGACAAGTGGAGCAGGGCTGCGAGGAAGGGCACTTCCCGCTTTCGGCAGCAGCGAGCCATCGCACCAGCTCAGCCCGAGGCAGCAGGCCACAGCTCCAAAGCAGCCCAAACCCATCTGACCTCTGGTGTCTCATATTCCCCCTCCAACAGTCATCAGGACTTTCCCCAACTCATTTCAGATGTTGAACTAAAAAAAAAAAACAACCCAAACCAAAAAACTCACAAAACCCCCCAGCTAACTTCCTTTCTTCTCCCAATACAAAGCCCTAACCAGTTTAGCATTCCCAAATCAAAGGCTTTGCTGAGCACTGAAACTGCTGCAAGGAGGATGAGGCTGTGTGGCCAGGACCAGGACAATCAACTGTTACATAGGTTTTGTCTGCCAGCAGGGACCTCCACCATGCCACCCCAGCACAGATCTTCATGACCAAGTCCTTCTGTGTAGAGCCTGCAATGCCTTTTTCTTCTTTTTTTTTTTTTTATTTTAACCAAACACTGACTGCAAGTCTTCTGTCATAGCAAAACAAGTGTTGCTTTAATTCATTCTATATTCCCCAGAACTAACATGAGGCAGCACAGTAAAGTATTAAACTACAATGTCATGTAACAAACTGGGGTTTAACTATGTTTTGTTTCAGACCAGAAGTCAGTGGCTGGCTCTCACACAGAGCTGTTGCACTTGGAACAAGCAGGAAAGGAACACTGAAACGGTTTTTGCAAGTAACTTGGCAGACAGACAGAGGGTAAATTTAAGAGAAAAAAACAGTTTGTTGAATTCAGCAACCAGATAAAGGTATGGACAATAAGGCAGGATACTCTGCTAGCGTATGTCTTTCCTTTCTTGAAGCATACAAAGAAAAATATAATCCATTTCCAGATTAATCAGTGTTTACTTCAGGGTAGAGAACAGAGCTCTCCCAGTTTGTTTCTTTAGCATAAAAACATTTTAATCAATAAACTTGGACATTTCTAGGTAGTAGCTTAGGTTACAAATCCACACTGAGACGGTCAGTCAGTATCATAAGCAAAAATCTTGCCTGTGGAGTGTTCACATTTGCAATATTATAAATAAGTAACATAAAAATTTGTGGCTGATATAGAGCAAAGTATTTGGTGAAAATATTTTTTATTTGCTCACGAACTATTTTAGTATTTGATTATGTAAGAGGACAATACTGCTAACAGATGTTCTTGATGTTATTAATAAACTGTGCTGATAGCACCTTGTGAGATCAGTGCTGTGTCTGTACTACATGGTTCAGAAAGATTCCCCTCATCTTCCGACATTGGTAGTTGGTAAAGGCTAATCAGCAAATGACCTGCAATGTCATTTTTTTGTCATCAATTATATAAAAATGCATAGAATCAAATCAACCCCCATTCAAGAAGTTTCAATTCCGACCCAAATTATACAACCACTTCACTTCTTTCATGAACCTCCACTGAAAATGAAGAAACCTAAAACATCAACTTCTGCTTTTATAACTGTCCCAGTACAGCATGTGTCTGCCTCTGACTTCTCCAGCCATCAACTCATGCTCAGGTCAGGCACAGGACACTGAGTGACACAGACCCCTGGCCAGACCCCAAATGGATGATATTCCAGCAGTCCTGTGGCATCTGGATGGAAATAATTTAAGCCTCAGCATTTGGAATTTTTTTCCTGGCTCAATTTGCCCATGTTGCAAGTTATTCTATTTATATGTACCTCAGTTTACTTGTTTTAAAACTACAGATTAATCCATTTTTCACTTTAGAAAGAACTGACACAAAATGATACAGAAGTTAAGCTAGTCTTTTCCAGCTGGATCCAAAAGTCCTTCCTTCTTGTCACAATCTACCTAAAATATCTCTCAAACAAAATGGAGAAACTTTGCCAAGTTACCAGAGTGTTCAAAAATTCACAAGACAAGCATGAATGCAATAGCATACTTTCTAATACTCACTAGCACACTTTGTCATACCAAATGAAGACATTCATGAAAAATTAACACTTCAATATATGGATTATATTGTGACCTCCTGCTACTAATTCTCTACTGAAAAGCAAAACTGTCACTTTTTCATAACTTGGTGAAATACTGTTTTATTGCTCATATAGTGATCTTCATAATTAGACCCTTAACAGAGTCAGCATTGCTCTCCATGATGAAGCGAAAATAGGACTGAAACAACATGACTCACAGCAGATTGCCACAATAATCAAAGTGGGAATAAAGTCCAGCTCTTGGGCATCCTAGACCACTGCTTTCACTTCACCAGGCAGGTTTTAGATTTCAGAGAAAAAAAATTTATATGACTTGAACAACAAAATGATGCCTTCTCTTTTTCCCATTCAGGCTTAAAAATCCCTTCAACCCTAACTCAAGTTAACTCAATCAAGTAATACTAAATTAAGTGATACTAAATGCACCTTAAAAATTATAACAATGTTCTTTAGCTGCTTTGTCAAATATAATAAAAGAATGAAATACATTCACAAGTGTGACCAATTACCTTTTCCTTAATGCAGAATTTAAGATGGTCAGTCATTAATGAAACACAACATCCACACAGCCAGTGCTAGTGTAGGTCACGATGTTCTCCTCTATCCCTCCTTGAAACAGCTCAATTTTTGGAAGTGTTTCAGAAGAGTCTTGATTCTCTTGCTGATTTTTATCTTCAAGACTAATAGTATCATCTAAAAAAATATACGAATTACAAACTGCAGTTAGAGACCTGAAATGATCTTCTGTAGTCTGTCATTTATATTACATCAGGGTAGAGTATTTCTAGAACAAGCTTTTATTTCATCAAATACTCTTGATTTTGCCTCATAAGTGGCAGAGAAAGGGGGGAGGGGGCAGGAGAGAGAGTGTGTGGATGAGTGTGAAAGAGTGTGTGTGTACTCCTCTCCTATTTTACACAGCAAATCCTATCAGCTTCCAGGGAGCTACTATTGTGTAATTTCAATCTCATATTACAGAACTAAACTAATACAGAAGTCATGGAAAAAGCAACCAGCAACCTTATCACACAACCTCCACACTGTGGTAATCAGCACATGCAGCAGTCCAGAGATTCCCGTGGGCCCTGATACCTTGCTGCTCAACTGTGTCACCTATTATTAAACTGGCAATTTTTTGTGATCATTAAGTTTAAATAAGTTGAAGATGTTCAACCTTTCAGAAATAAAGTCTGAAGAAAGACTTCTTCATGTTAAATGTCCTTCTGATCTGGAATGGGTAAACTTGAGCTAAGTATTGGATTAATTCCATATGGGAAACTTTAAAAGGCAAGAAATCTCAGCACTTGCATCAGGAAATGAGAAGTGATGATCCACAGCAACTATAGCTCTGCCATACTATGTAAACAAAGGCACAAATAAATTTACCACATCCTAGTGCTTTTCCAAAGAGGAGTGCTATCACTCATTTGTGTTGAAAACCTTTGACACACTTCAGCATTAACTAATTTCTCTTCTGAACAAGAAGTATTTTATGTAGGTTTTGCATCACAGAACACACTTACCAGCCAAGGCACCTCCACTCTGCAATCCATTTGTTTTCTGTTTTTCCTAAAATAAATAATAATAGTCCAGAGAAAAGAAAAAAGTATGTGATGAGATTTTGTTCTTTTGGGAAAGAATAAGGTCCATGCTCTACTATATAATTACTATTTCATTGTATTTACATGATTTTCCTCACTTACACTACCAGACACTACAATGCTCCTTAAATAAAAGCAAACCTTCACAAAGCAACAGGGGGGGGGGGGGAAAAAAAAAAGTAATTTGTAAGTTAACACTTTCTAATTAGACAAGGAGAATTAAGTTGGCATCAGTCACTCAGAATGACTTCTCTGCTACAATTTTTTGTAGAAGTAGCCATGAAGAAGCCACAGGTAGCGGAGGATGAAATTTGCTCTGATGATGGGAGAAAAACCATAGAAGGAAAACAACTGGATGATGGTAGGTTGTACTTAATTAATGTAGGCCAGGTCAGGACACAAGGATCAAGGAAAAGGTGTTGGGTTTTTTTTTCCTCCTTCATCTACTTTGTATAAGTTTCTGAAGCTGATCTTTCAAAACCTGAGTGGACCTGGAGCTGATTCTGGAAATATGCAGAAGAGTACATAAAACATCCATCTCCTCGTTGCAAGTATTAAAAAACAAAGCAAATTTACTAGCAAAGAACATCATCTTGCTTATGAACTGAAGAATTCCTCTTTACACCTGGAATATTGGAAAGCCTTCCAAAATCCCCTAAAATTCGTACCTCCACAGAGGTCTTCCACAGTAAATAGATCATCTTTGAAACTTTCCAGTCAAGAGGAACTATATAATCATCTGGCAACAAGGATTCTGCAGAAGAAAATATTTTTTGCAGTTGAGTGTTCAGATCTCTCCATAACCAAAATATATCACTGAATTACAATTTTTCCACACATTATATATATAGACTTTTTAAAGAATGAGCAGATATTTCAATCAGCCAGCAGCAAAGTCAGAATTTAGGTTTTCTAGAATCTAAGGCCAGTGCACACGAGAAGGAAGGAGGAGGGGGAGGGAGACTTGGTTTTGGTTCCTTATTTTTAGGCAAAGGCCTTCCCACCATACTTTCATTTCCCCCACAAACTCCCCCAGAACTAGGCACAAACAAGAAAAAAACAGAAAGCTTTCAGCCCATAAATATAATAGAATGCAACTTAAGTAACACTATTTAAATTTTAAAATGTTTAATTATAGGAATTTGTGTAAAATCACTAAAAAAATCACTTTCTGAAATGTTTTAACTCTAACGCTAAGAAGCTGAAAAGAGATTCTTTGTAGGAAAACAGTCTAAAATATATTCTGTGCTTATATGAGAATCATACAAGCAAGTCTGACAACTAAAACTTTCATTTATGAATAGCAGAAGACATTTATTTATCAAAAATATCCCCTCCAAAAAAAGGCAATAAAAATTGACAGCAATTGACAGTGTTGTAAAATACCATGGCTCAGATGTGTGCATGAATAAACAGTACACAAATAAATAACCTATCAATATATAATAGGCTACAAAAAGCACAAGAATATTTGAATTGTAGGAAAATTATAAAGGAATGAGGACGCGGCCAGCCTTCCACAGAAAGAAGTTGCAATTTTGATGGAAAAAACTCCAACAAAAAGCAATCGGAAGCTGGCAGGGCTTCAAAGAGGTATCAAGGTGGGGTTCTATTTCTTAAAGGTATATTTTCAAAGGAAACTCGTATAAACCCCAGAGAATTTCAACTGCTACTGACTCAGAGAAGAATGATACTTGATTCACTAACCTACTGAGTGCTTCTGAATGCCTGTTTTTAACTTTTCCCCTGGAAGATCCCTGTTTTCAATTCATGGCCAACTTCCTCCAAGATGATGAAATTTAAGATCACAGATACGGAGACTTACCAAATTTGGAGGAGAAAAATGTTTTATATGTAATAATTGATGACATCAGCAGTACTTCTCTGCTCTATTTCAGCTCTATATGGCAAGTTCTTTGGTGTGTGGTGCCAGATTTGGCCAAAGCAGCACTGCAGGCTCTTTGGGGACCAAGCTGAGTAATGCTACCAGGGGGCTGCATCACTGTTCTGGCAGGTAGCATTGCCATCGATTTTTACAATAAAAACATAGAATCCTGAGGTCAGTTTGGGCAGATAAACATACATAAGCTGCTCTTCAGATGTCATCTTTACATTTTCATATGAAAATACATTCTTAACTTTAAATTCTACTGAAACAAACAGGTGTAAAGGGTCTATGTGCTGTAAAACCAGTCTGTGATTTTAATCCTATTGGTTGGCCAAACCAAAGTTACTGCTTCTCCACTGACTAAATTCGGACCAAAGTTACAGAACTTTATGCACAGGGAACGTGGCTCTTTCAGCAGAAGCGTACACAGCACCATGTCCTAGGGTGATTTCCAAACAAATGTCTGTTGTTGTTGCTGGCTACAGCTCCGTAGGGTTACATTAGTCTGCAGTAGATTTGGAAATCATGGTTGTCACACACAACCCCTTTGAGGACTGACCACCATCCTTCTAGCTGCTAACTTAAAATGACTAAACTGAAAGTACAAAAATATGACAACTGGAGCTCTGGAAAGCAACTATACAACACTGAGACACTTCTTAACCATGTATGATTTTAAAAAAAAAAAGGTATTCACCATCAGAAAATGCATCTTGTAAGTTTGATAATCAATGTCAAAATAAAATTAGATTTTGGGAAATATTTTCAGCAGTATCTAAGCCACATAAGAGTATGTGTAAACTTTACTAAGTAAGGAAAAAGGAATGCTACTGTACCAACCAGGTGGAATATAAAAAAACCCAGACATACAAACTTTATATAAGAGCACACATTTTGTACCATACTTTCATTCAGTTTTGTAATCAACATGGTAAAGTTACTCAGTAGGATGTATTAAAACATCAACAAGAACTTCACGCTTTCAAGTTAGTAAGATTTTTTTACTAAAAAGACTGTAAATATGAGGCCAAACCAAATATCACCTCTGATAGTGACAGAAGATTTTTGGTAAAAAACAAAATAAACCCCAAAGCAGCAGTGATTCCTTTCAATAGGATTAGTATTTGATTAATTGGTACCTGCAATAAAGATGACTATTTAAACACAGGGGAGGTTGGTTCTGGGGGTTTTGGGGGAGTGTTTGGGGTTTC